TTTCTGGTAATAAATATGAGAGGACAATTGGTTTGATTATTTTTGTTGAGATGACTATTGACGTGAACCACTAGTCAAAAATTACGAATCACTCCATTCAACACTAAATAAATGAGGACTTGACAATCTACAATCGAAAAACCATCTATTTTTTAATAATATAATAAAAAAATTAAATTAACAATAAGGCCATAACTTTATAGATAAATAAACTATGTTTCAATTTAATTTGTTTTTATTAAGAAATTGTTTGCTTTATATTTATTAGGTTTTCCAACAATTTTTTGCTAGTGTTTGAGTTTTTGCTACACGTTTTTCGAATATTTACTGCCGGTTTCTAGCGATGAAGCTTGTTTCTCTTTAACAAAATTGTATTACATTCCAATTCTTAAAAATTGTGCTAATGAACATAAAATTCTAAAAAGATATGTTATTTGGTTATTCCTGTATTTCTTGCTTTGAAATATTCAAAAAATTAAATATATATATATAATATATATATATATATATATATATATATAATTTTTTAGTATATTCCAGAAGAGATTTTAATAATGAACTTTCGTTCTACTTTTTCTTATGTAAAACTTCAGATTTATTTCAAATTATTATTTACTTCAAATGGCATATCTATTTAATATTAATTTCGTAGTAACGAATTTCTTTTATTGCCATATATATCTTGGATAGTTATTATCTGTTCCTCAACCGTTTTAAATATGCAATATACACAGATTTTTTTTTTATCATTTATGTCTTTAGTATAGGCAAAATTAAAATTAGTAAAAGAACGTAAGTATAATTTTTAAATGATTTCAAGATAAAAAAGAATATAACATATAATTATTATAATGTTCAATAATTATAATAATAATATCAATTAATACATTACTTGTGATATTTAGCTCTTCCACAATTTTTTTCCATGTAACCTCCTTTTTAATAATTTTTTTTAATATTTGCTTGAGGTGTCATATCAAATAAAAATGGACAATTCCTCACTTTTTATATAAATAATTCGGTGTTTTACATATCTATATGAATACTACCACTAAATAATTTCAACTGTAATTTGTATCTATAATATTTTTCAAACATAACGCCGGCCCCGGCGATACACTTGTAATATTTTTCAAACGTAACGCCGGCCCCGGCGCTACAGAATGTATCGCTGAGGTGTAACGCCCTCTGTGTGACTGCTATAGTAGAATAGATAGTAATACAACTGTAGCGCTGTAGCGCCGCGCTAAATAACGCCTTCTGTGTGAACACGCCGTTATAATCCTGCAATAATCCTATTAACTTGGGTATTAGCTAACTTTTCTGCCTACATTAGGTAGAGAATAACGCCGAAGGAGGGCGATATTTTTGTAATTTGTATCAATGTATCGCCGGCCCCGGCGCTACAGCATGTATCGCTGTGGCGTAACGCTCTCTATGTGACTGTTATAGTGGAATAGATAGTAATACAACTGTGGCGCTATATCGCCGCGATAAATATCGCGTTCTGTGTGACCGAGCCTTTAGAACGATCGATCTTACTTTGCATCAAATCGTCCAATTTCAATGATTTATTTTAGATAATTTTATCTACGTATATTTGAGCATACACATGATCAACAAAAAAGTTTATAATTTTAGAGTTATTGGCAAATCCAATTTTGGATTCATCGTAACTTTTTTCCCAGTTTCTTTTCAGGTGTATTATATATTAGTGTATTATGTATTATATTGTAAATACAAATTTAAAGGTCTCAAGAAGAAAATTTTAAACAAGTTTCATTAAAATCGTTGCACCCATTTATCTGGTACAGCCTATAGCGACACAGTATGTATGCATACTAGTCTTTTGTAGGATCGGATTCCGAGGATCATCTTCGGGCAACTTCGGATATTGATACCGAATCTCGAACCAATCGGCCAAATATTTTCGGAGAAAAGCTGCGGACAACGGATGTACAGTTTTTTTAATTAAATTTTCGGATTATGCGTATTTTGAAAGATAAATCCTCAAATTCTAGAAGGAGGGGAAGGAAGAAAATAATTCTTAGTTTTCATTGGTGAATATGGTGGTTCATTATTGAAAATAATAAACCAGACTATGCTGTGAATTGAAATATGGTAGTTACATAATATGTTAATATAAAATATGTTTAATATAAAATATAAAAATTAGGTCATTGTACTCTAGCATCCTAAAACGATATATTTAAGTAGGCACAATATTAGTAGGTATTGTACAGTACAATGAATTCATTGTGCCCAATCTAGCCTAACTTTCTCCTTTTTAATGGAAGTCATGACTCATGCATTTTTTAGGATTAGTCGTCACCAGGGTTGTTGAGATATTAGGTAATTTCCAATATTCCCTATATTTGTCGAGAACGGTCTTTGATATCGATATTAGTAAATTAAGAGTGTCCCAAATTTAATTAAATTATATTGATCAGTGCGTGACAGTGTTAGTAAAATTCGAGGAACATCAGTTCGGCTTCGTGGACAAGAATTGAGAATTTCCATAACTCTCTACAGCGTGTACTGACTGAATTTCTGGCCCTACATCCTTACTAAGTTCAATTGAGGCAAGAACTGCAACCTAATGACCATTCAAAGAGAAGAGAGATCGTTAAATGGAATATTGAACACCAACAAGTGGATGCCGATTTTTCGAAAATAAAAAAAAAAAACATGAAGCCCATTTTCACCTCGATGGCTTTGTTAACAGACAAAATTGGCACATTTGGAGTTCAGAAAACCCACATGTCCATCATCTATAAACCCATCCTCAACGTGTCACTGTTTGATGCGGATTTTGGATTTGAAGCAATGAAACATGCTTTTTCGAACATGAAGCTGGTCAAGCAGTCATGCTATAATGATAACTAGAGACCGGATTTTCGTGGATTAAAAATCCGGAAAAAATGCAGTAAAAAACTCAAAATGTGTAAAATCGTGCAGTATAAATCCAATTGTGTAATCAATATTATTTAATTTATGACATTAATACGTCGAAATTTTATCAGATCACGAGTTAACCGAAAGATTAAAAAAAAAAAAGGATTGAAAATGAAATTCCAGATTATAATCAACTATTATAATAACGATTATTATCAAATAATGCAGAGCATTAAAGGTTTGAAGGAATAAATGAAGGCAGGAATTATAAGTGCCTATGTATATATTAAATAGACCAGACCAATTTTAGGTATATAACTTATATCAAAAATAATAATGATAACTTTATTTTTTAATATAGTTGAAGTTTTAATATTATACATTCCCAAACATTTTTGTTAAAATTTAGAGAATTTGAAAAAAAAAAAATGGAACAGACTGCAATGTTTGAGATTTTCAATTGTTCAAAAATTAGTGTTGAAACTGTTTTTCTATACCACTAAAAAAAATATTCTTTGATAAGAATATTTTTTTCTTACTTGTTCCCCAATGAACGTCTATCAGTGATTTCCTATCATAAGGTGTATAGAACTTTCTCAATCAAATTCTTTCTCCTCACATTTCAAATCGGGATATTTTTATATGCAGATTTTAATTTTTCACGGGAGACTAGATATTACTTTCTGCATTATATTTTTTTAATAAGAATGAAATTCCTACAAATCAATTCAAAGCCAGAAGTGATACTTATAGCTTTTTATTATCTAATACTTTAGGCAATTTCTATTCCGAATATAAATCTCACTTGTGTTTACTTCTTCATTTTGTAATAAATACGATTTTTGCATCACACAGAATTATTTGTCTTTCTCAAACTTTTTATTTTAAATAACGAATTTAATTTGAACAATATCGTAAAATAAAAATTAACAGACTCAATTTGTATTTGTATATATAAATCGTCTAATTTAGCACTAAAGTGCAAAAATGTCCAATTTAATGCAACAAAAATTAAAATCATAATGATGTAGAGATGGTTGACCGTTGATATAACATGAGAAGGAGTTAGTCGGGTGTGCGGTCAAATAAATACTAAATTAAAATATAGTAATTATTTTAATTTTTGCTGACGTTTCGACCCACTTTGTAGGTCGTCTTCAGGGCTACAAAAGATACAAAACATGTTGAAAATAAAAAATAAATACAAGTAGATATAAAATAAGAGGAAGTTGTCAGATACAGAAATAAAAGATGATATCAGAGATATAGTGGGTGACAATGTAGTTAAATATTAAGTATTATATAAATGTAGAAGATATAAATAAATGGAAAATAAGTATGAATAAAAATAAAAATAAAGGAGAATTTAGCATGTGAGTTAAAATTGAATAAGTATTGTTACAGATATTACTTTACTTTACTTTATGATTAACTGTAACAATACTTATTCAATTTTCAATCTATTTCTTCGTTAACATTCATTTTCTTTACCTGTTAACCCACAGTTATTTAAATGTAATCTCTATTAGTTTGTTATACACTTATTCCTTATCTTTTATCGCAACCTGTTTACTTTGAACTTACATGCTATATTCTCCTTTATTTTTATTTTTATTCATACTTAATTTCCATTTATTTATATCTTCTACATTTAACTACATTGTCACCCACTAGATCTCTGATATCATCTTTTATTTCTGTATCTGACAACTTCTTCTTATTTTATATCTACTTATATTAATTTTTAATTTTAAACATGTTTTGTATCTTTTCTAGCCCTGAAGACGACCTGCAAAGAGGGTCGAAACGTCGGCAAAAATTAAAATAATTACTATATTTAAATTTAGTATTTATTTGACCGCACCCTCGACTAATTCCTTCTCAAAAAATTAAAATCGTGCAATTTAAGCCAAAAACGGCAAAACGTGCAATATAAAATTTAAATATGTTATTCTACAGGTCCTGAAATGGGTAGATGTTCGGGTCCGGAGTTTTTACACACAAGCAAATAAAAAGTGCAATAACATGGAAATCCGCTCTCAAATGATAACACAGTTCTCTCTGCCTAAATTGGAAGAATTTGATATTGACGTGGTTTCAACAAGATGGTTTCAGATTCCATACATCCCGTGAAACAATTTAATTACTCCATGAGACATTTCCTCGTTGTGGCTCGATTCGTTGATAAGAATTGGCTCCCTAGATCATGTGATTTAACATCAGTGGATTTATTTTTATTAGGTTATTTGAAGTAAAAAAAAAAAAAAAAAAACACAAACACGCATGCATTGAAGGAGGAAATCCAACGCTGCATCAACGAAATTCAGCCACATTTATGTAAAGTAGTCATAAAAAAGATCAAACAAAAGATTGCATATCTGTCACCAAAGTCATAGAGGCCATTTCCCCGATGTGTAATTTTATACATAATCATAATTATCATCATGTGTACTTAATGATTCAATCTGTTACCGAAGCCATAGAGGCCATTTCCCCGATGTGTAATTTTATACATAATCATAATTATCATCATGTGTACTTAATGATTCAACAAAAAAAATATCAATTTAATGAAATATAATTGTTTTGATTTTTCTACCTTTACTTGGTAAGGAAAGTATTGCAACCGGGTCAAAATTCCGATTTGCGGTTTTCGACGGAACTATACGTTTCAGAGCTCCCTGAGTCCGAAAAACTCATTTTTACCTATTGGTCTGTCTGTCTGTCTGTGCCAAGATTTTCTCGGGAACTAATGGACCGATTTTGTTGCTTCTTTTTTATTTTGTAGTGTTTTGACTACTGATACCTGTGACAGAAATTCGGTGCTCCATGAGCAATAGCTTGCGCCCAATAAATGAAAAACATGTTTTTCTATAGACTGTAACGCGAAAACGGCTCTAATGATTTTGATGAAACTTTCCTATAATGTTCTAATAATTATCTTTTCAATTATCGTACATAGACTAAATTCCCGAAAAAATTTCAATTTTCAATGTAAGATTACGGGTGTCAGAAAGGGGTGAATGAGATAAAAAAGATGACTAAGTGAAAGTAAGAAAATCTGTTGCCCGCATCACACAAGCTTCACTATTTCCTCTACTTTTAACGGAAATTATTGTTTGACAATACTAAGCTATGGTAAAAAGTTTTTGATCAGCAATATTAGTGAGTATTGCAATGTTTACACTGATCTACCTTAAGCCGGTTTACTTGCTTTAGTTTATCAAATAAATCGTACTCAAATCATTTCTTTGATCAATTTTCAGGAAAATAAATCTAGTTCAATTTTTTTTTTACTTTCACTTACGTATATATGTAATATATAGTAAGTGTAAGTATTGCGATCGAGAAAATTTTTGAATCTGAGTTTTCGACGGATTTATACGTTTTTAGGTACCCTGAGTAGAAATGACCAAGTCCCGACAAATGGTCTGTGTGTTTGTATGTTAGCAGTCTAGCTCAAAAACGAAAAGTCCTATGAAACTGATATCACGTATTTAAGATAGGTATATGCCTTAGTTGTGACGGCAACTTTTTCCTTAAAATCGGCTAACCGGAAGTGCCACTTTATATCAACGCTGAAACACATTTTCACAGTTTTCTCAAAAACGGCTCTAACGATTTTGATTAAACTCGGTGTATCATTGTATAATTAAGTGGTCTTTAATATAAATTAGGTCTTATCCCCATTGATGTCACTTTACAGGGCTTAAATGCCCAATGTTCATATACGTCTTCCTCTAAAGTACCTTTAATATGGTTTATTTTAAAAAGATAATTATTTCGCATTATTCAGAGTTACGAAAAAATGCTAAATATAACTTTTGAAAGAATTTGATAAGTTAATAAAGGAGAAAAAAAATAAAAATGCAGAAAAACGTAGCTATAGACTGTAGCGCCTAAACGAATGTACCGATTTCATTGAAACTTCGCTAAAATCATTTTCTCGACACCCTTCAAATTTATCTATATAACATTTATCAGCGAAAAGAAGCTGAAAAAAAGTTACGAGGGATGGTAAAATTAAATTCCGAATAACTCAAAAAGTATACACTTTTTTGGGAATGTTGTATATGGTTTTCTAAATGTTTATAGAATAGCCTAAAAAACAAAAAAAAAATCGCTAAAATCGGATAATTAGGAGATAAGATTTGGTCTCTAGTTTTTTTTTAATACGTTCTGCTGCAATGGTAATATCCTTTGTTTCGGTTTTTGAATTTTGAATGTGTTAATAAGGTAATGCTAATTTTTTTTTTTAATGCAATTTAAAAACATTTTATAATAGCCTAACATGGCCAGAAAATAATTTTTATTCAAAGTTCAAAGAGTAAGTGAAAGCTGTGTGTTGCGCGCACCAGATTTTTTTTGTTTCTTCATGAACATATGTAAAGATATGTATATAGAATATATAAAAACTTTTCTGAAATAGGTAGGAAAGTCGTGTGGGTGGACACACCAGGTGTTTTATATTCAATTCAAATATTTTATTAATTTTGGGACACTCTTTATAATATCATATGAAAACTATCGATATTGTCTATATCGAATGATTTTGTTATCAAAATTAAATTGTTGTGGCACTTAATATATGAGCGGTTCATCAAGTGGCTTTTCCATTACCCCAAATAACTCAAGAACTTTAATGAATTTTTATTTTACCTTATATTAATTTTTATTATAATTTACCTACTTTTTAAAAACGAAACGCGGATAAATATTGATTCCCTTCAGGTGTCCGTTATTGAGAAGTTTTACATCCACACATAAACACAAAGATTTATTACACACACACACACACACACAGAGGCAGACGGTGGTTTGGGGTGGGGGTGGGAAAAAGAGCGAGAGGTCTCCCCCACTCCTTGGCCAGACTCAGTCTGTGATAGCCACCGCGTGCGTCTGGAGCTCTCCTGGAAGTATTGTCAGTGTCGAAAGTGTTGTGAGATCGCTGTCGAGGTAGTGTGACAGTTGTACCAGTGCTGTGTAATATATATCTAATAGATCAGCTCTATATAGATTGTCATCTATATCTTATCTCTACTGTCAGTCCTACTTTTACTGGTAATTTTTTTATATATATATATATAAATATAAGAATTTCCACAATATATATGCATAACTAATCAATTTTTTAAAAAATATATTTATACTACCCGAAGGCAACAAACCATTTAGTCGAAATAAAAAATTTCTGAAATAGAGATAGAAAATCAAAAGTATTTGATGAATTTATGAAAAGTATAATATAGCCCAATTGGATATTTATAGTGAATTTTCTGAAAATGGTCTTAGGGTCATACAAGAATATTTTATGTCAACAATGGGAAGTGGAATTTAGAAGAAGAGAAAAAAACGAGACCGGCAAAGATTTTTTTCATTTAAATTCAATATTTATTTTATTTTTTGACTCTAGGACCATTTTCATGTATTCAATTTGTATATAAAATTTGACACTACTTTTAATAAATTCATGGAATACTTTTGATTTTCTGCATTCGTTTCTTACATTACTTTTTTTCCGATCATATTTATTACATTCGAATAGCATATATGTATTAAAAAAATAAATACTTTCTTTGTATGTATATAAAGAAAGTATTTATTTTTTCTAGCGTATATCGAACTTTGAAATAGTTTAATCAATTAAAAAATTATTCCAATAGTAATAACTTCTTTTCTGTCGTGTTTGTAATCTACGCAACTATTCGAACATAAATAAACATATAATATGCCTACACAGAATATTTAAATATAAATATAAAAATGTTTAAATAAAATTAACTTACTATAGTTGATAATGCCGTTTGGCTGTGGTTAAAACAATATCAAAGGTATCTTATATTAAATATAAACAATTTTATTATTTAACATTACTTTTTTTTTAAAATAAAAATTATGTAGAATATAATTAATAGTATGTATGAAATTTTATTGTTCATATACGGCCTCTTCTTCTGTTGAAATTTGGGCAAATCATTATTTTTAAATAAATAATATATTGGATATATTTAAATTATATTTTAATAATTTGTTTTTGTAATTTCATAAATCTGCCTGCCATGTTTTGTTTAATCCGCGTACTTCAACGTTACTTTGCCAATCGCCAATTAATTAATTTATCATGATAGATTTTAATTTTTGTATGTGTATTACTGTAATTATATGATTTTATTATTAAATATTGGCGTTCTAGTTATATAAAAGTAGTGTACGAACCATTCTTTGGTAGTCCTCAGACGGCTGTCGCTAATAATAAGATTAATTTTATTTTTACGTTGATAATTTCATGTCTGATTGTCAGTATTCAAAATCCTGTTACTAACATGAATCCTCAAATAATACTGAACTGAAATGATTTATATATTTCAATTTATTATATTTATAATTAATAATAATTAATATCCGTATTACTAAATTTTCTAAAATATTGATTTTAGATTTATAAAAAAATATTAAAAATAAATTTTATTTGAATAGTTCTTAATACAGTTTTTACGTTTTCTCCAGTTTTTTTTGTACATGTTATAATATATATTCTTATTTTATTCAAAATTTTCCTAGAATTTTTGTCTCGTTTATTTCAGCAGCATATTACAAAGCATTACTTGTTGCTTTGAGAGAATACTTTATAAAATAGTTCAAATTATATACACATATATCAATATTTTTTTTTTCAAAATTAAATTGTAATTGAATTTTCTTTACGAATATTCTGTATATCTTGAATTTGGGGATATCAACTACAAAATTACATTTCTTTGGTCTTGATCCTTAGTTATTAAATGTTCTCCATTATTATTAAAATAAACTTAATACTATCATTACAGAAAATATTTATTATTATTATTATTAATTTATTTTTACATTAATAATTTCGTGTCTGATTGTAATTAATTTTTTTTTATTGACTATTTTAGGTTCAATTCTATGTCATGATCGAAATATTTTTATTGATAAATCTTTATAATTTATGTATTTATTTACTTATTATTACGTTTCGTATAAACTTACTAATGTACATATTAGTATTTTATTATTATGTATTGTCAGTTTTAATTATTTCTGAGCTTAAAATGTCAAATAAGTTAACGTATAATAATAAATTTAATTGTTAAAGCTTATTATCTTTAAAATGTTATAAAATATTATAACATTTTAAGCAAATTGATAAATTTCATCATTTTTACAAAGAGAATCCAATTTTTTTTTATAACCCGCATAAAATATTCGATTATACATATATCTATTTAAGTGTCCTTTAGTTATTAATTTATTAGAGTACACCAGAGACCTCAGGAAAATAAAATATTTATAATAATTTATTTTAATGTAAACTCTTGAAACAAAATTAAACATTTTACAATTGTTTTACAAAACTACAGTCGATTTTGAGCTTCATTAACAAACATCAACTTATCTATCATAGATTTAAAAATTAATAAGCAAGGAAGTATTTCTAAACTTTGATTAACAATTTTTTATGATAAAGCATTTTTACATATTTTTAAATTAATAAATAGTTTTTTTTCCATAATTAATTTATTGTACTACATACGGTCACATCGGGTCACAGGAAAACAGAAATTTAAACTTTTTAGAAATTCATGTTAATAAATTATTAAAAAGCTTCTTCATTAATAAATAAAAATTAATGAAGAGTCAGGTAAAATAAGTAATTTTTGCTGGAAACATTTTTACACGACGAGGAACGGGTCTCGAGTTATCTTGGTAACAAACCTCTGCTTAATGAATATAGTTTTTAGAAATCTCAATAAACAAGAATATTTTTTACAAAAAGTGGAGACATCAATAGCATAGTTATAAAGTGATAAAAACAAAAACAGAAATAATCCATGATTTTAATAATAGCACACCTTTGTGTACTTAGTCGTTTTAATGTTCCTTTTAAATGATATTAAAAAACAATTCAAATTCTACTGGCTTTTTAAGAAATTTTTTTCTAGTTTACAATGAGAAGAATGGAAAAATCACCTAACATTAGTTTTTAAAAATTATTTTACGTATTCAACAAGAAATTTAATGTTATGTCATGAACATTGAATAATTGAACTTTTCAATTTTTATTAAATGTTTAAATTAATTATTTTATTGCATTTGTTTTTCTTTAAGACTATCATAATAATTTCAATTTTATATTATGATTGGCAAATTTTTAATGATACACTTTTATAATTTAACTATTTATTCACTTATTGTTACGTTTAAGATAGAATAGAATAGTAAAAAATAAATAAAATATACTTCTCTGTTCACACTAAAGAAAACTAAACACTCTATTATATATTATTTAAATTTACAGTAGTTTAAGGTTAAGAATTTACCAGGGTGTGGGAAATCTTGATGAGATAGAAATATTTAAGCCAACCAGCGCGGAAGATTATATTTTTTTTATATCAAATTATAGAGAATTGGTAGGGTAGTTTGGAATATTGTCCTCTGCATATTATGGCAACATTTCCATATTGCACATCGGCATGTAATCTGTCGGTATTTTCTATGTTCGTCCTAAGATTTAATTTTAAAACATAGTTTAATATTAATATTTTTTTAAAATGCATATTTATTGTTTTGTATGTATTTATTTATGTATATTGCTGATAATTTTCGATTTTATATTAATTTGATAATTGGAACTATTAAACTGTCTGATTTTTACCACCGAATATGTTTTTTAATTTATGCTTAAGGGTGTTGTAATATCTGTTATGTGGTATAAAAAGGAATGAATTTGTATTTCCATGATGATAATAATCTTTGTTACTTTGTGATAGACTCCATTTGTATATTGTTCTTCCCTTAAAACAAATAAATATTGAATTAAATTGAATATATGTATATATATATATAGATATATATACATACATACACACAATATAGGTAGGTAATCTGTTATTAATTAGATTAGGGGTAAACCTCCTCGACCGTTGCTGGGAGCGAGACAACGGACAAAGCGATCAGGTATATCTGGTTTGTTTTTTTTATTCCCCCCCCTTCCTTCCCTTGTAATTGAGAGAGACAAAAAATATCGAATGTCCTCTATCGATATGGTTTATTGAATATCGAAATCGGCTCGGGTTTTGCGATCTTTATTGCCCTCTTGTCCGCCGAACTGATCTTGCTTTTATTCTCCACCATTTTATTCGAATTTACTCTTCTTTCAACCAGAGCCCACCTATGCAAAAAAATGTTTTAATTTTATCTTAATATTTAAATTATTTTGTGCCTTTACAATACAGTTTATTTTATTATTTTTTTATCTTGACCCTTTCTTCATTAATTATGTTCTTCCCTCTTATTGTAGCTAGATCTCATTTGCCAAACAACCACTCTTAAATTATAATATTGTTCTTTATTATTTTAACTTGTACGTTTCGGTGATATTTTTTCGGTGATACCGAAAAAAATACTGTAAAAAGTGAATGATAAGATAATTTATTTATTTAAAAAAAAGTATTGAAACAAACATTAAACATAAATGATTAACCAAAGTTTATTCCAAATATTTGGAGTTATATTGAAAAAAAAAAAAAAATTAAATTACAAAACTATGGTATTTATTCTTCCCGACTCTAAATGTATTTACGTACATTAATCTCTTTAGTTGAATGTTTTATCTCAGACCATGCTTATTAAAGAGTTATTCTAAATACTAAACACGAATGTTATTCTAAAACTTGCACGATATTGGGACCAATTATATAAATTTGTTCCAATATCTAAATAACATTTATTAATATGAAATTATTTTAATTAAATTAAAAATGTAAATTACGGGTTAAATATATTATTGAGGCCATAAGGTATATTATTTTTATAATTTTAGATGCTGAGAGTGGAAAAAAGAATTACGAAACGTTACAAATAAAAATAATAAAGATTATCATATACGCGGTGTCCTGTAAGTTGAGGGAAATATTTAAAATGTTGATAGTACATTTCCATATCTTCAAAAAAGTTCATATAAACAATTGTCCAATTATCAGCAGAAAAGTAAGAAATTTAATATTTGTGTTTTTTAAGCGAGTCACATTTTTTGTTGAACAGGAAGCGATAACTTAAAAATATATTTGATTTAAGTAACTAAACATTGCTCGATAGTAAACGAGACAAAATTTACTTTAAACGAAAGTAGAGTTTGTCATTGTTAGAACTATCCAAAGAGGACTATTGGGCCTGAGAAATACAGCAAAGTTTCGTTTTAAAAAAGTCATAAATTATTTGCATTTTTTTTTTATCACCCTTTAACTTTACTACATTTATCCTACTTTTAGAAAAAACTTCCTTATCAATAAGTTTTAAGGTGAGGTTATCCCATATTAATTAAGGTGAGGTTTATCTCCCCCCGAAGGTCGATGGCGAAGAACCTACTCCCCCCCCCTTATACCAAGATATTCTATTCCTCACCATTCCCAAAAACAGAACAAGATAAGGTAGAATTAGAAAATTCGTAGATCATATATAACTACACTTGCTACAGTCAGTTCCATGTTTTTTTTTTTTGTTCTTCCCTACCTCTCCGTTTTAGGCTATACGGGATTTTCCCGGGCTGAAGGGTGAGGGCGGGGAATTTAAAATCTCCTCTGTCACCGGGACGCGAACTCGTACTTTTCTTGTCTCTCAAATCTTCATATATCTGGTTGCCAGGCAACTCGCGGTGCTGTGCACACGCTTTAGCCCATTCGGCCACCCCGCCCCCTCCAGTCAGTTCCATGTGTTACCCTTGTCAATTAGTCAGAAAATTCATAACTCCGCCGAAATTTGTCCCCTAAAAAATTCAAAAACTCGTCAAAATATGGCCCCCTCATCAAATTTGAGGGCACCACTTGTGCCATGAAACCTCCTGGGCATTCCTGGATTCAGCTCTAGTTGTGTAAAGAAATTATGTGATTTCCTATCTAGCAACCTTAAAGTACTCGTGTTTTCCGCAAAAATTACTACAATTAACTGTTGCAAAGCTTTTATTTTTTGTTTTGCCGTGATATGGAATGTATTGCATGTATGTATTATGGAATGTATTGTATTATTTATAAAAATTAAAAAGAATAATACTTCAAATATTTGTATTTGTAATCATAATGCAGTAGGGTATGTACAATGTATACAATTGTATTCGTTCTCGTATTATTTTGTTGTATGTTTTTACAGATCATGTAATGCCATTTTTTTTTAAAAAGATACCAGTCCCCTATTTAAATAAAGGTGACTTTTTTAAAATCTAGATAGTGGAGATTTTAGTTTTTTAGGTATAAAATAGGAACTTTATACAAAGAAATTAATTATTAAAAACAACATTAAATGAATAAAATTAAATGAGATATTTTAATGATTCAGTCTAAATTTGGAAACTTATTGCTGGATTTCGAGTGTCGTTGACCGGTTTAATAATTCTCGAGTTTATTTTTATCGTTCTTTTCTTGGATTTGGCAGCGGTATTACTGTGCTATTCGTCTGGTATAATTTGGTCCGAAGTGTCCCGTCATCAGGTCAGTTAGAACTGGAGATGAAAAAAAAACACGAGTATTTTTTAGTAACAGGTATGAAGAAATACCTATTACAAAAAACTCCATATAAAATATAAAAACTTATTGATATTTTTCCAACATCCCTGTCCTGGGACTACTTTTTTAATTTTATTATGATTAGCTAACGGACTGTAACTTATTACCAATTTCAGACCCCACAGTACTGTTTACAGTATTCCTAGGAAAGGATTCTTCGGCTGCCACGGAGTCGGCCAACAAGATAATGTATTGCCTGGAGAACTGAAAGGGAGCTCAGACCGCGGCGTTATAAAGGAGCTGTCAAAGAAGTGGAAGCTTGGGCACGGACCTGGAAGAATTATGGCTCTTGGGCAGTTTGGTTCCTTTTCAAAAACTGGAGAAGGAACTCCAGCCTGTCTTAGAGCGTTAATGTCCCTCCCTCGAAGTCAAATCCTCCCCTCGCCGAACCATCAAACGGTCATTACCGCGACCTTCCATTCCTTGAAAGCAAAACTTTCTCGACACTGACACAATAGTTCTCTCTCCTTTTGGTTGGACCTGTCATAAATCTACACTGCTTTCGTTGGAAGGGACCCAGCTGTGTTGAGATCGTTGCTCAATTGAATGGGAAGGATAATAATGAAACTTTCTGAAGTTTTGACGTGTATTAGCCAATTATTTATAAAAGTTTTTCTAAGGCGATATTCAGGAAATACTTTTTTAATTATATAAATTTGGTGTTATTTAAAGTGTACTATTGAAAGAACTAGGCTACCCTATCGCCCCTGACGACGGTATAAAAATTTTACTTATTTAAAGAGAAGTTTTAGATGTCAAATAGGAATAGAATATCATCTTTATTCTGGGAATAGGTCTCTCAAGAATAACCATATTGTTAAAACCAATTGACAATATATCTGGCCAGATGACCTATTATAATAAAGAGTAACTGCAATCTAAGTAATAAAATGAGTGTATACATACTTTTGGAGGGTATATTAAGGAAAGCAGATGGGTACAACATACTAATAACTAAATAAAATTGGACAGAAATGCTAAATAAGTTTTAGCATAGCATAACTTAAGATATGAATTATAGTCTGATAATAGGTCATGAATTTTTTTATTATTATTATATATATATATACATATAGGAATGGTGGAAAGTATTTTTTATACTAGATACAAATTCCACCATGGTAATGGATGATCATGTAGAAAAAAAAATACTTTCCACCATTCATATAAAAATTTCATGACCTATTATCCGACTATAATTCATATCTTAAGTTATAATATATAAAGGTCGAATTATAAAAAAACATTGTAAAATTATATATATATATATACATACATACATACTACACACATAGAGAGGAGAGTGCAAAAGATAAGTAAAAAATAAAATACTTTTAAATAAAATAAAATACACTTAAAAAAAAATACAATCTTATGAATAGAAAAAATAAAAGATAACAAAAACAATAAAAAATTATACCTACGCACACTGCTTTGTAAGATGTGATCGAAATTCTGTTTCATACTCAAAACAGAAGAAAAAAATATAACGTATAAAGAGAATTAAAACCTTGTTGCATAATATATACTTAGCCAGCATCTGATTGAATTGTGAAGAGGAATTTGGATAAGAGGGTTTTAAATGTAATAAGCATAGTGCATGGCGGATTTTTAATGTTATGGAATTCCAGAATGCAGTGGAACGGATAATAAAGGAATGTTTAAATGAAATACGTGTTATTTTAACTAAAATTGATCTTCTTGCAGAATACTTGGCCTATCAGTTAAAGATCAAAACCGGGTTTATGTTGCGATATATGTGAAAAAGTTGTTTTTCTTTATATGTTTGTGTATGGGTACTAACATGTAAAAAAACTAAAACAATTGAACGGACCAAATCGGAAAAAAACTTTTGACAGCAAAAAAACTATGATTTTTTTCCCTAGCTTTTCATGTTTTTTCAACTTTAAATTCCGCACGGTGCATCCAAGCGAAAAATGTACTATTTTAGAAAATAATGTTAAATTATTTGTCGAACGATTTGTTGTTGAGAACCATATACCCTACAAATTTCTAGAGGTTTGTTTGACTTGTCTAGCCAAGCCGTGCGGTGCGGTATTTTATCTAATAGTCATACTAGTTAGCATTACAAATTATCAATATTATATAAATATATTAATTAATTGATTCTTATTATTTATTAGTAAATTAAATTTAAAGTTAAATTGTTATTTAAAATAACTTTAAATTCATGGCAGGGGTTGAGATTTAACCTCCAACGAATGTGGATTTTTTTATTTTATATTATTTTAAATAATTGGTCTTTATTTAAGTGATCTTAATTAATTGGAATTCTTTCGGACTAGTAATAAATAATAAATAGCCAAGTTCGAAAACGTGAGGCCATTACATTTTATATGGGTTGGTGACACGTTACATTGGAATTTCCTTATGCAATAAAATCGTTAGTAAAATTCCGTTGTATCAAAAGAAAAAAAAAAAGAAAATATTTTTCTTTTATGTTTTATTATTATATCACCAAGGATATTTTATTAGTTTTTATGGATCAAAAGAGTATTAATATATGGACAGTGGGTGGATTTTAATTGGAGGCATCTTGAAACGAAAAACAATATCTGAGAAAAAATGGTCTAATTAATGTTTTTCTATCATGGCAATAAATATTTATCCTTTTTTGATTTACAATTAATGTTTTATACGTTTTTATGGATTTAATTTAGATATTATTCCTTCATTTTTTATGTTGAGGAATCAATTTTTTGTTTTTTCTAAGTCTCTATAATAAACCGTTTTAATAATGCCTATATGTTACCTATGTTTTTAGTGATTCATTTATTATTTGTTTTTTTTCATACTTGTATGTAAATTTTTGCCTAGTACTAGTTTTTAGTTTCTAGTACCAATTTTTTTATTGAGAAATGTTAGTTAATTGGTACTAATTTTAACAATTTTTAATTATTGCTATTTAAGCTATGCTAAATATAATACCCAATGCTAACAATGCCCCCCTTCTTTTAATAATAATAAAAAGTCAGTGAATTCGAAGGTTCGATGTCTACACCAATAGCTTCGTACACACTTCCCTCCACCTAATACTATCCAAACCCAATCCCAATAGGCCATTCTTAACCAAATTTTCCCACCTTCCCTTCGGTATACTCCTCAGAAAACTAAGCTCAACAATTTTATTAGCCCATTTTACGCAAATCAGCGTTGTGTAACCGTCTAAATTCTTCAGTTGACTCATCTCAATTTTTTAATTATCGTAGGCACCAGTTTCCTATACTTCTCTTCGTTTCCAAACATATTCTCTCCTATGTAGATATCACCAATATTGTCGCCGTCCTCGCGCGGATCTCAATACCGCGTTGGAGAACGTCTCATGGGTTGCGGATGTGGGAATGGTCGGTGGAAATTCACTGGAAGTTCTTTCCGGCTAAGTCCGATGGACTCGATAAAGGGAGCGCCCACTAAAGCCCTGGAGCCAGGACCCAAAAATCGACCTCATCTAAGGCGAAGATGTTGATGTAAATTACCAAAGTGTATGTTATTCTATGTAAAATGAACCTTGTCTGCCATTCCAGAGCCGCTATCAAAAATGGCGTCTGATTTTACTGTTATTAGACCAGTAGTAACTTGAGGATCGAAGCGGTAAATTATTTTCGAAAAATGTGGGGAAAGTTTTTATTTTTCGAAAAGAATATACCGTTTCGATCCTTATGTTACTGGTATAATGTTCTTTAAATCAGCCGCCATTTTTTAATGCAACAGCTGTGGAATGGCAGACAAGGTTAATTTTACTTAAAATAACATACTCTTTCCTAATTTACATTCAAATCTAGTAATATATTTTTTATTTTTAAGCTGGTTAAACATTATAGTTTTCAATAAAATGTACTGTTCACATTTAAGAAATCTAAAAAAAAAACTTCAAGATTGGATAAATTTGTTTATTTGCTTTGACCTTGAGGAAACAAATAATGCGCACTATGCAAGAAATAACTGGCTGGTAACAATGTGGATACCGGGAAATATCTGTTTACTTTTTTTTGTTAGGTTTGTGCCGCCTAGCAACAGAGGGGTTGGGTTCTCTACCCCGCCTCAGTAAACAAACTCTTTGTGGTGAACGTACCCGCCGTGCCTATTGCTCTCTGACGTAGGCACAACTTATTGAGCAAAAACCCTTTTGAGGAATGGATAAGTGGCCTATTGAACTCCGGAACTTTGGCAATGAATAATGATTTTTAATTTGTATTATTTCCAGACCTAACTGTATTAGAGTCCGGAAGATGTATTTAGTTCTGGGGAAGCATGGTCGTAATGCATGCGAAATGGTACCGGCATTATTCATGATGCATAATGTGTCACACCTATGTTTACAAAATATAGTAAAAAAAAAAAAAAAAAAAATGAATTCTGTTTTATATTTCTAATAACTAGTTGGCTCGGCGAATAATTTCCATAGACAATATAATAAAAATAAATAGAACTATCTAATTTTAAGTAAAATTTATATTTTAAATTAAATCATCTTGAAATATTGAAGTACCACACTTCAGCATTTCACCTTCAGTCAATTTCTTCATTTGTTTTGTGTATTACAACAAAATTGACTCTTTTTTTTAAGAATATTTTTTCTGCAGATGTTCGTCGTCTTTTTGAAACATTTATTACCTACTCCTACTCTTCAGGACTTTGTCCAAATTCAACCGTTTTTTTTTTTTTGCTTTCACTTATGTATATATGTAATATATAGTAAGGGTAAGTATTGCGATCGTGAAAATTTTTGAATCTGATTTGTACCCTGAGTCCAAATAACTAAGTCCCGAAAAATGGTCTGTGTGTATGTATGTTAGCAGTCTAGCTCAAAAATAAAAAGTCGTACGAAACTGATTTTACGTATTTAAGATATGCCTAATATGTGACAACTTTTTCCTTAAAATCGGCAAACCAGAATTTCCACTTCATATCAATGCTGAAACACATTTTTACAATTTTCTCAAAAACGGCTCTAAAGATTTTGATTAAACTCGGTGTATCATTGTATAATTAAGTTGTTTTTAATATCAATTAGGTCTTATCCCCATTGATGTCACTTCACTTTACAGGGCTTAAATGCCCTATGTTCATATACGTCTTCCTCTAAAGTACCTTTAATATGGTTTATTTTAAAAAGTTAATCATCTGCCATTATTCAAAGTTTCGAAAAAATGCTTAAGATAACTTTTGAAAGAATTTGATAACCGAATAAAGGAGAAAAATATAAAAATGCTTATCCAGGTCGAAAATGAATCTCCGGAAATACTAGTCAGAAGGTATACGTATAATATATCGTTGGAAAGCAAAGAATTTTAGAAAAATCAATGTCTAATATAGAAAGCTGTAGAAGGTAACAGAGAGTGGCAAAAAAATTATAAATAATAATTTTTTAAAACTAATAATATTTAAAGTAAATCACACGTTTCTAGGAAATTAAATGAAATTTACTTACTAAATGTAAACTTTTAATTTTTTTTTTAAGTTTGAAAAATTATATAAAACCCACGGATTCAAGG